TCAGCAGGTGAATGAATAAATAACACTCACATAATAGAATATTATTCAGCACCAAAAATAAATGAGCTAACAAGCCACAGAAAGACATGGAATCACCTTAAAGCCACACTGCTAAGTGGAAGAAGCCAATCTGAAAAGGCTACTTACTGTTTGATATACACTGTATGGAATTCTGGAAATGGAAAAACCATGAAGACAGTAAAAATATTATGGTTATAGGAATTTGGCATTGGAGACAGATGAACAGGCACAGTACAGAGAATTTTTCGGTTGGTCAAAATACTCTGTACAATACTGTAATGATGGATATGTGTCAATACGTATTTGTCCAAATCCATTGAAGTGTTAGTCACTCAGTCGTGTCCCATTCTTTTGATCTCATGGACTGTAGCCCACCAGGCTCCTCCGTACATGAAATTCTCCAGGCAAAAATAATGGAGTGGGTTGCCATTTCCATTTCTAGGGTTCCTGTAGGGGAAATTAGAATTGGATGCCTCAAGTCTAAGGGAGATTCCTGGGCATGTTCATTGTCAGAACATTCTTCTCCTTTGAAGCACTTAGGGCTTCCCTGATAGCTTAGCTGGTAAAGAATCAGCCTGCAATTCAGGAGACCCTGGTTCAATTCCTCAGTTGAGAAGATCTGCTGGAGAAGGGATAAGCTATCCACTCCAATATTCTGGGGCTTCCTTGGTGGCTCAGCTGATAAAGAACACACCTGTGATGTGGGAGACCTAGGTTCGATCCCTGGGTTGGGAAGATCCGCTGGAGAAGGGAAAGGTTGCTCACTCCAGTATTCTGGCCTGGAGAATTCCATGAACTGTATAGTCCATGGGGTCACAAAGAGTCAGACAGACTGAACGACTTTCCCTTTCACTTTCTAACTGCCAGATTGTTTAATTGTGAGCCATTTAGTGCAACACAAAGAGTGAACCCTAATGAAATTATGGACTTTGGGTGGCTATGCTATGCCAAAGCAAGTTCATCAATTATCATCAACATACCACTCTGGTGGGGAACGGGGAATGGGGATAAATGGAGGAAGTTATGCACTTGTGGGAGTAGGTGATATATGGGAAATCTCTGTACCTTCCTCTCCTTTTTACTGTGAATCTAAAACTGCACAAAAAATACAGTCTAATAAACAAGAACTTATCCTTGAAAAGTCCCCTGTATAGTCTATTTGCAGAGACAAAATACTGAGGTACTTTGGAACAGATCTTTTTATCTTGGGAAAGAGTTTTTAATTGTGTGGCACTAAGGCATGTGTCTGGGAATTATGTTATCAGTACACTGTAAGACTTGAAAAAGGTGGCCTAGGGTGGACATGTGCTGGTTTGTGTATCCTTCTACTTTATTTTTAAGTAATTATACCAGAAATTCTAGAAATTGTCTTTTCCATCCATGTGGCGCTCATAGAAGTTTCCATGTTCTTCAGTGTTCAGTATAATTGAATATTTGGCCCCAAATGGGCCAAACATAATTCCCTCAATGCCTGGAATTTTGGACATGGAAAGAGTCTTGAACTCAACAAACAGCAAAGTCAGCTGTTCTTGAATAAACAAATTGATTTAATAAAGGTTGATTATGTTTTATGGAACTATTAGTATATAAAAATCTCATCTTTTGTGGAGTCTGATCAAGGGCTATTCATTGCCAGGTAATACCACTTGTCAAAGTTTGCTAATGGTATGTATAAAACAAAGAGTTTAATTGCAGAGTTGTTAAGAACATCTGGGATAAATAAGGATGCCATCAAATTATTTAATTTCAATACAAGTTGTGTCTATTATCATATTAAAGACTAAATTTTAAGTGATAGATGTACTAACTAACCTAATTGTGGCAATAATTGTCAATATATACAAGTATCAAATCATCACATTGTACATGTCAAACTCACATAAAGTTATATGTATATTATATCTCAATGGAAAAAAATAGTCTAAATTTGATCTTAATATCATTAAGGACTTTTTTAATTTTAAGTGACAGAAAAACAAAGTGCTTAAGAAACAGGGAATCCTTTAGTCCACGTAAATTAGAAATCTAGGGATACTTTTATTTTAATATTTCACTTGAGCCATAAAGAATAATATTAAAATATTATTTTTATGTATTTCTTCCCTTTCTGCCTTTCTCTGTGCCGGTTCCATTCTTTGACATATTCCTCATGCTGGCAATATTTCTCATCTCCAAAACTCCAAGTTCAGTAGAAAAGAAGAATCTGCCTTTCCCCATGACTATACGTAAAAGTCCTGGGTTTTATTCTTACTCCAAATCTGTCACAAACTCATCCCTAAACAGATCACTGCAACCAAAAGGAAGATGTGCTATCCAAGGTAGGCTCGCCCAGTTTATGACATGATAACAAAACCCTGATTCAGTGAAGACAGCTNTGACTATACGTAAAAGTCCTGGGTTTTATTCTTACTCCAAATCTGTCACAAACTCATCCCTAAACAGATCACTGCAACCAAAAGGAAGATGTGCTCTCCAAGGTAGGCTCGCCCAGTTTATGACATGATAACAAAACCCTGATTCAGTGAAGACAGCTGCCCTTTGGCCATCTCTCTCCCAGACTTAAGTTGAAGGGCACTCATTGTTTGTTGCTGTCATGGTAGCAGAAAGAAGAGCTTTAGATACACTCACACTAGCAGTTTAATTCTCAGCCTGAAAATGACAAAATGACATTTCTCAGTATTCATTAACCAGAACTGGCCACATAGCCCCACTCAACCAGAGGGGACAAGGAAGTACAATTCTATTATGTGCTCAGAATGTGCAGAAATCGGTATTTTGGCAAATAGCACTGATGAACGCCAAATGTACTATATGGCTCAAATCAAACACTCATCTAGACCTGGGGGTAGGGTCAACCCCACCACAGTTGATAACATGTAGATTTTCACAGAAAACTCAGGCTACTAGCAGGGCAAAAGTAGTTTTTTATCGGAAAGAATTAATATTACACATAATTAAGTCAATTTATAGTAAATGACCAAAATTCTGGATTCATTATGAGTATATCTTCCTGTGTTAATAGATCATTAACTTCCAAGTGTTAAAAATTTGCCATATTTGTGGTTATAAGCCAAAAGCTAAAAACTTATATTTTCCCCTATCCTCTTGATTTTAATCTGGGTTGATAAACATAGTCTAAATTTTTAAGGGTAGACATTTTAAACATAGTTCAGTTCCTCATTTATGGTTCATAAGATAGCTCAACCTGTGAAATGATAAAGTGGTTTTAAACACATAACTAATTCTATTCACAAATGAAGATGTGGGATTCACATTTACATCTTCATTCTTTTTTGTTTTCTTTTCTTCTTTTTTTTTCTTTAAGTTTTTGGCCCCATAGTATAGCATGTGGGATCTTAGTTCCCTGACCAGGGATCAAACCCACATCCCTTGCCATGGAAGCGAGGAGTCTTAACCACTAGACCTACAGGGAAGCCCTTGTCTTCATTCCTTTAATTTTTTAAAATGTAGTTTCACCTGTTTGTTTTTGGCTGTGCTGGGTCCTTGTTGCTGGTAGGCTATTTATCTAGTTGTGGTTAGCTGGAGCTACTCTCCAGTTGGGGTGTGCAGGCTTCTCTTGCTGCGGAGCACAAGCTCTTGGGCATACGGGCTCCAGCAGTTGGGGCAAGTAGGTTCAGCAGTTGCGGCTCCTGGGCTCTAGAGTACAGGCTCAATAATTGCGGCGCTGGGATTTAGTTGCTCCACTGTATGTAGTATCTTCCCGAATCAGGGGAACGAGCCCATATCTCCTGCATTGGCAGGTAGTTTCTTTACCACTGAGCCACCAGGGAAGCCTCCCTGTCTTCATTCTAAAGTTATTAGCTAGAGTTGTTCTATCCTCTTATAGGATGCAGCATCATTAGATCAGGTTTTGTTTTTCTTTTTCCAGCAAGATATTCAGTATCAAGGAATTTTCTTTCTTTGTGAGGAATGGGTATCTATTTCAGCGAATTTAAGAAAGGAAGAACTTGTTGTATGGCTTCAATAGTTAATCTCTGCTTTCTCCATCTCTAAGCCCACACTACTTGATCTTGTTTTTTTGTTTATTGCTTTACCTTTTCTCTCTTCACATCTGCTCTGGCGTTTCTTTCTTAATAATCTCTCTGCTTACTCATTTTCATAGCCCAGGGCACTATAACCAAAGGGCAAAAAGTTATAATACAATCTCTGGGCCTCTTTATTAGTTAAATTTCAAAGACAGGAATCGAATTGGCTGGGTGTTGGAAATTGATCCTCTGTTAGCGAAATCAGCTCTGGTTGGGGGAAAGTATCACATAATACATATAACTGCCTCTTTTAAGGCTTTAAGGTGGGGCAGGTTAGCAAGAAGGAGAACTGTAAAAGAAAGCTAATTGGCCATGCCTGCTGTAGGAATTAGGATGAGAATATCAATACCATTTATGCTTATATAATTTTATCTGCTTTACAAACTGTTACTCATTTAATCCTACAAGGTTGATAGTATTATTACACTCATATTGCAGGTGAGAAGACAGAGATATAGGGAGGTCGAGGCAGAGCAATCCAGAATTTGGAAGTAGGTAGCATTGCTCCAGAATTTATGGTTGCTATATCATGAGTCTCAGCTATCCTAAAGTATCGGTTTACGTCAGTGAGTTTACTGTCTTGGGATATTCCCTTAACTCTTTCGCTAGGAGCAAAATGCTTCCCATTCTCCAAAGCTCACCTTGAATATTAGCATTGCCACTTTGCAAGCTCTCCTGCTGTTAAACAGTCTCATACATTCCCTTCATTACTATACAGGTCACCTTGTCCTGTGATTGGTACTGTGAGCTTCTGTTGAGTGAGCGCAAAATACTTCTTACCTTTGCGTTCCTGGTGCATGGTATAGCGACTGGCACACAGCATGTACTTAAAGAACTGCTACTGGATTGTTCACTTCATAAAAGAATGAATGAATTAAATATGATTTATGCTACACAAATCTTACAAATTTCTCTCCTGCTACTGTAATATAGGACAAAAAGCACTTCCATAAGAAAACCCAGGAACAATGCTTGCGAATCTTTGAAATTATTGGGATTCAGAAGCCGGGAGAGTGGTTGGTTTGTGCTTGATGATGTCGTGGTGAGATCTGTGCAGAGTGGCTTGGTATCATTTGAATTGTGCGAACATCTAGAGAGGTAATACCATAGTAAACAATAAATGTTGATGATATTCTATTCTGATGGCTTGTAATTGATGTTTATAGAAGTAGAATTGTAGGATTAGTTTTTTTTTTTTATTTCTCAGATATAAATATGAATAGTCCTTTAGGGTGTGTTTAAAATGCAAACTAGATCTGACATGAATACACAATCTGTAATTTCATTCATGATAGTTTAATAAGTGCTGTTGGAAACCACTCTTAGATTAGATTTATTTATACAGCTTTCTTCTAACTCCAAAATAGTTCTAAAATAGTGCCTTCATTTCTGAAATTCCATGGAGATAGTAATTAACTGTTCTTATTATGCTCATCTCCTACGTATGTATTAACTGAATTTGTTATTTCTGTGTCCTCATTTTGCTTTCTCATTTCCATGTTTTCTAGACAGCTCATTACAATGAGTTTGAGACATTTTAAGGTTCATGAGAAGTAGACACTCATAAAGAGAGGGCCATACATGTCCAAGGACAGCCTTTATCTCACAAAGGAAGAGCTTACATCTATAATTGTTGTGGGTCAGTTTCCCTAGAAAGAGTCTAAAATGAGAATGCAGGTGATTGATTGAGAGAAGGCTCCCAGGGGACTCCTGTCGAGGAATGAGAAAAGCAGATAGGGACAAGGGAAGAAATGGGAGAAACTATGGCTTAAATGGAGGTTTCACCTCAGCCTGACACCTCAGGAGAGCCCTGATGTGAGTACCAAGGAGGCTGGCTTTACATTCCTGCATCAGTTAGTCTTAGTCTGTGAATGTGGGGCTGTGCTGGGGGAGGGGGGTCTTGTAGGTCAATTTCTGGAGAACACCTGGGTGATGGTGGTTCTGCCCACGGGGAGGGGTTAGTTTGCTAGGCTCCCATAATGAAGTATCATAAACTGGGTAACTTAACCTACAGAAATATATTGTCTTACATTTCTGGAAGCTGGAAGTCCAAAATCAAGGTGTTAGCAAGGTTTATTCCTTCTAAGGACTGTGGGGATCTGTCCCAGGCTTTTATCCTTGGCCTATATATGGTTCATTTCCTATTCACACAGCATTCTCTTTGCATGCGTACTTACATCCAGATTTCTCATTTTTAATTTTTCACTCGAATAGTGGGCTTCCCTGGTATCTCAGTGGTAAAGAATCAGCCTGCCAATGCAGGAGACATAGGTTCGTTCCAGGAGTCAAGAAAATCCCCTGGAGAAGGAAATGGCAACCCACTCCAGTGTTCTTGCCTGGGAAACCACAAGAACAGAGGAACCTGTCAGATTAACGTACATGGGGTCACAAAAGAATCAGACATGACCTCGCAACTAAAACAACAACAATGCTCTAATGACCGCACACTGATCAGATTACCTCTGTTAAGAACATACCTCCAAATATGGTCACATTCTGAGGTACTGGGGATTTGGCCTCCAACGCAGCCGGTGGGTGGAGGTGACACAATTTAGCCCATTCAGGGTACACCATAACAACACTTACCACACAGTGATGCGATGAATATTTCAATCCCCACTGAATATGATGTATATCTTTATCCTATTGATAATAAATGGGTTATCTTGATTACCTTTCTCTTTTTGAAGTAGTACTCTATGGTAATACTAGGTAAAATGTAATTTAAAATACGCTGCCATAGGTAGAGCTAAGCTGAAACTAGATGATTTCTTTGTTTATGGGCATCTGTTTTAGATTTAGCTTGATTTAAGCTGGTTTCCCGACTGCCAAGAGTTTCATTCAAGTCATTCATTCAAATTCATTCCATTAATGAATTTAATCGGTCTTTAGAATGCTTGATTTTTAAAGGAGGTTTGGTTTATAATGGCTTTTGGGAGGTGTTATTAGTTATTCGTGATATCTTTGAGACTGGTTGCTTTCCCTCAGGTCATTCCTCTTTGCTTCCATGCAGGTTGATTGTGCTTCACCCTTCTTCCGTTGTGGACAGCAGCCACCTGGTTTCCTTTGTGAAGTCTTTGGAGGAAGCCATGTTCAGCACCACTGCCTGCGTTATACTTTATCACCAGAAAGACAACCCACGTAGAATTGTTATTTTAGCAGTGCCTTCTAAAGATTTATACCAGGTGCTTGGGAGCTTGCGCTCAGAAGCTTCTAGTGGTCCTCCAGAGCCATCTCGCCATTTCCAAGTGAAAGAAGGAGAATTGCTTCTTTTACGATTTACTGGAAATATATTTGCTTCAAGTAAGTATCATGAAATTGTTTTGTATATACTGTGGGCTATCAGCCATGTGCTTCAGATGGAGTTTACTAAATGTGCTTCACTAAAGAGTCTTCAAAGGACTGAGGGAAGGCTTTGGAAAAGTAGGAAAAAGAAAAGGATTTATTTACGTCCTTCTTTCCAGTCTGTTTCTCCTCTTTTTAGGGCATGCATGTTCCCTTATGGGCCTGCTCTAAGTGATGTTCTTTTGGAAATAGTCTTCTCTCCATAATTGCTCTAGCTGAGACTATGCTCGGATCATCTTTCCAACACCAGCTTAGTGTTGGTGTTANGAATCTTACCACAGCCTGAAATTATTTATTTGTTCTTATACTTTTCATTCCTACACTGATGTTCTTGACTAGAATGTAGATTCCATTAGGGCAGTGACTGTGTCTTTCTTGCTACACATCCCTGAGACCAGAATAGTGCCTGGCCCTTCAAGGGCCTCCAATAAATACATAGTGAAAGAATGAACGTATGCCAAGGAAGACAAGGTGAATGACCATGAGAGGCGACAGAAGAGGTGGGAAAAGTTAGGAAGTGACTGAGGCAGAAAAGCTAAAAAGAGAGAAAGAAAAGGAAGCAGAAAGAACACAGAGAGAAAACAGCTGTGTGCGTGAAGAGAAGACAAGACCTTTGGGGGTGCTGCCATCACAGGATTTATTTTCATGAAAAAGACTCCTTTCCCTTTCTAACCCCCTTCCTTCAGGTAGAGTGAGATCTAACTGTGTGCATCTAAAAGAGGAGCTGTGGGGGGAAATTCAGGAATGGATTTTGTGGGGATTTCTGGTCTAGGAGTCCCATTATAGATTTGACTTAAAGTAATATTCCCTGTTTATTTATAAATTAATATAGATCCCATTGATTTTTAAGTGGTTTCTGTTTTCTAATTTTGAAAATTACTCCAAGCTCCACTGGCTCTTTGCTCTTTGTTGTTTCCAAAACGATGTGGCTTAAAGCTTCAGCTGACCCTTTTTGGTGTCTCAGAAATAAGTGAGATTCAAAGTGTCCCAGTTTGAAGTATCTCTTCCACTGTTACAGACATTGTCTCAGCCATCTGAGGCAGCTGTCGGGACCTAGGGAGTAAGTGACACAGTGTCGGGAAAAGGGGAAGGGAAAGGAGAGGAGGGCAGGAAGGAAGGGTGAAAGACACCCCTTCCTCCTTGGCTTCCAGAGAAGAAACCACCCTGGGACAAGCTCTGTAAGTGGAAGTGTCTCACCCAAACTAATGATGCAAAAGACTTCCTCTAATACTTGGGACGGCAGCTGTGTTTACCTCCTGCCCTAAACAGGGGAGAGTTACTGAGATTCTCAAAGGCAGTGGGGACGTGTACTGTCATCTATAAGGGGGAGTGAGGAGCATATGCTAAAATAAAAGTGCCTGGAGACAGCCAGTGTATTCACAGTTCCTCAATATAGGAATGGAAAACTCCTCTTCACTCAGGGAAAATGCACCAGGCAGGATGCCAGGATCCTTCCTGTTTTGCCTGTTTTAGAGATGTATATTCAGACCTGGAGCTTCACTGGATTTTCTCCATCCATCTTTCTAGCGTATCACATATAAGCCCCCAGTACTATCTAAGAGGAGCAAGACCCTCAGTAAAGAACTGATACATCTGTTTGATTCCGTTCGTTGTACGGCAGAAAGTAACATGACGTCTTAAATAAACTATGCTCCAATAAAAATAAAAAAAAACAAAACAGAGTTGATACCTCATCCTTTCATCAGGGCCTGTGGTAGCCTCTGTGAATCTCAAATTCAAACAGCCAGAGGTTGTCTGCCTGGAGGGTCCATCTCTCAACCTATCCCCACTGGCTTCTGCAGTTATCTCCTACTATATTTTCATCATTTATAATGATCATGTTCAGAGAAGCCTTTCCTGATTATGTCAGTTCATTATTTTACATTTTCAGATTTTTATGTAACTCTCATTGGAAATGGCCATAGATTTAATCTTCTATTTATTTTTTTAATTGCTTGATCAACATCAGTGTCTCTGATGATCAGTCCTCCCCAAGAGAGGACTGTCTCTTTTATTAGTGAGAACTTTTCAATTCCCAGCACCTAGAATGGTACCTAAAAGCTATAAGAAGTATTTCTTCAAAGAATGAAGATAAAACCTTGAGGACAAACTCAACATTAGAGTACTGTGTGATTAAATGTATTTAAAACTTTAATAAATTTAGATGGCTTCTCTCTGAGAAATACCAAAATCTCTAAATTCATTACATAGTTGGACACTCAGTCATGTCTGATTCCATGGACTTTGTGACCCCGTGGACTATATAGTCCATGGAATTCTTCAGGCCAGAATACTGGACTGGGTGGTCATTCCCTTCTCCAGGGGATCTTCCCAACCCAGGGATCGAACCCAGGTCTCCTGCATTGCAGGTGATTCTTTACCATCTGAGCCACCAGGGGAGCCCAAGAATACTGGAATGGGATCTTCCCAGCAGATACTTTCCAGGAATCGAACAGAGGTCTCCTGCATTGCAGGCAGATTCTTTACCAACTGAGCTATCAGTTGGAGCTACCAGGGAAGCCCTCTAAATTCATTACATGGAATATAGATGATTCTTTTGATTGAGGATCTTGCTACATGGAGATTATTTCTACTTCTAAGAGTAAATCAGACATATAGGTGTTCCCTTTTACATTGGCCTTTGGCATTCCTATGGACACAGCTAGAATCTGCTTTCTTTCTCCAGCTTACAGCTGTTGATATAGCACTTAAGCTTTCTAGTGTATCACATTTAAGCCCCCAGTGCTCATAAAATTCATAAAATGCTGGGAAAGGGACAGAGAGGATTCTACATAATGATGCCTTAGCACAACTCACTCATAACACTAAGTAATGTCCTAAAGAGGTTTGTGTGTATCCAAGTTTCCCCAAACACCCTTTGGCCTAGAGAAGTAGTTTTCCCAGACACAAGTGTTAGAGTGGTAAAATGGCCATCCTTTTATTCATTTAACAAAGATTCCTTTCCTTTATTACATTGTATTTTACTGCAGAGAGGCATAGAAGAAGCAAATAAGTAAATACATTGTGCAGCTTAATGAGATGGAAGGTTCCTTGAAGAAGAATAAAGCAGGGAAGGAACATAGAAAGTTTTGAGAGAGTGGCAGATTTGAAATTTTAAATATTCATCCGAGAATATCTTTTTGAGAAAGTACCATTTTAGCAGAGACTCAAAGATGAGAGAACAAGCCGTGATCCTATCCCAGGAGAGTCTGTCCTAGGCAGAGCAAGAAGGTTGAGATGGCTGGATGAGAGGGAGGGAGAGGAGACTTGGAGGAGATGAAGTGGATACTGTTCCTGCCTTGAAGGGCATTTCAAGGACTTTTCCTTTTATTCTAAGTGAAATGGGGAGCTCTGAAGGATTTTCAACAAGGTTGTCACACAATCTGGGTCAGATATTATTTGTGTTGAAATTAGAAGATGTAAGGCAAGTTAGCAGCAGGGAAATCAATTAATAAGCCATTGCAATGAATCAAGCAAAGAATGCTGGAGGTTTAGAGGCAAAGATATTGGAAATCATGTCTGGTATATTTGCCATAGACTTCTTTGCTGTCAGCATTTTTGCTGAATAACATTGACCATAAGGCAATTTTGCCATAAAAGATACAGTGACAAAAAGTAAAAAAGGGATGTTTAAAAGCAAATTTTAAAAGCTAGTGGAGGTAATGGAATTCCAGCTGAGCTATTTCAAATCCTAAAAGACAATGCTGTTACAGTGCTGCACATAATATATCAGCAAATTTGGAAAACTCAGCAGTAGCCACAGGACTGGAAAAGGTCAGTTTTCATTCCAATCCCAAAAAAGGGCAATACCAAAAAATGTTCAAATGACCATACAGTGGTCCTCAGTTCACATGCTAGCAAGGTAATTCTCAAAGTCTTCTAAGCTAGACTTCAGCAGTACGTGAACCAAGAACTTCAGATGAACAAACTGGATTTAGAAAAGGCAGAAGAACCAGAGATCAAATTGCCAACATGTGTTGGATCATAGAAAAAGCAAGACATTCCAGAAAAAATATGTTTCATTGACTATGTTAAAGTCTTTGCTTGTGTGGATCACAACAACTTGCGGAAAATTCTCAACCAGACCACCTTGCTTGCCTCCTGAGAAATCTGTATGTAAGTCAAGAAACAACAGTTAGAACTGGACAGGGAACAATGGACTGGTTCCAAATTGGGAAAGGAGTACATCAAAGCTGTATATTATCACCCTGCTTATTTAACTTATATGCAGAGTACATCATGTGAAATGCTGGGCTCGATGAATCACAAGAAGGAATCAAGATTGCCGGGAGAAAAATCAACAACCTCATACATGCAGATGATACCACTCTAAAGGCAGAAAACAAAGAGGAACTAAAGAACTTCTTGATGAAAGTGAAAGAGAGTGAAAAGGCTGGCTTAAAATTCAACATTCAAAAAACAAAGATTGTGGAATCCAGTCCCATTACTTCATGGCAAATAGGATAAAGTGGAGACAGTGACAGACTTTATCTTCTTGGGCTCCAAAATCACCGCAGATAGTGACTGCAGTCATGAAGTTAAAAGACGCTTTCTCCTTGGAAGGAAAGCTATGACAAACCTCGTAAGCAAGTTAAAAAGCAGAGACATCATTTTGCTGACAAAAGTTCCGTAGTCAAAGCTATGGTTTTTCTAGTACTCATGTATGGATATGAGAGATGGATCATAAAGAAGGCTGAGTGCCAAAGAATTGATGCTTCCAATCTGTGGCATTGGAGAAGACTCTTGAAATTCCCTTGTACAGCAAGGAGATTGAACCAGTTGATCCTAAAGGAAATCAATTCTGAATATTCATTGGAAGGACTGATGCTAAACCTGAAGATCACATGTGGCAACCTGATGTGAAGGGCCGACTCACTGGAAAAGACCCTAATCCTGGGAAAGACTGAGGGCAGGAGAAGGGGGTGACAGAAGATAAGATGGTTGGATGGCATCATTGACACCATGGACTTGGGTTTGAGCAAATTCTGGGAGACAGTGAAGGACGGGGAAACCTGGCATGCTGCAGTCCATTGGGTTGCAAAGAGTCAGACATGACTTGGCAATTGAACAACAACAAACCCACCTAATGAATCATGAGAAATGAATAACAAAATTATACAGACTTTATTGTGAAATATAAAATATCTAGATACAGTTAAAATGTGTGTAGATTCATGCCAATGCCACACAGATAACTGATTTTATTTTGTGAGTTGTACCTAAGCATTTGTCTCTAAATATTTTGCTCATTGTTTTTTACATATTTTTTACTTGTTTATTTATTTGGCATTGTTTTTCTTATTCACTAAAACTTCATCCATCACTGAGAGAGGTATCAGTTTCCAAATACTGGGATGCATATTAGTAACTGAGCTTTGTGGTACATTGCAAAAATCTACACTGTCTGTCCTTGGCATAGTATCACATGTCCATTGATACATGTTCCAAAGTTCTATGGGAAAAATGAAAGTGAAAGTCACTCAGTCATGTTTGACTCTTGGCGACCCCACGCATTATACAGTCCATGGAATTCTCTAGGCCAGAATACTGGAGTGGGTAGCCTTTCCTTTCTCCAGGGGATCTTCCCAACCCAGGCCTCCCACATTTCAGGCAGATTCTTTACCAGATAAGCCACAAGGGAATATGTGTTCAACTCTGGGTTTGTCAGGCCTGTGGTCTCAGCCTCTTTCTACCCCAATGTAGTGTTTCAAAATTAAAAAAAAAAACCAACAACAATTCATGGGGTAAATCATTGTCATCTGTCATGATTTTTTGGTTGTATATGTCAAATGAGCCTATTAACCAGGTATTTTATCTCTTACAGCAAAATTGCCTTGTGGCCTGATCACTAAATCTGTGATATTACATGTGCTGTGCTATGCTTAGTCATTCCATTGTGTCCGACACTTCATGACCCCTTGGACTGTCCCCATCAAACCCAGGGATTGAACCCAGGTCTCCCGCATTGCAGGTGGACTCTCTACCATCGGAGCCACCAGGGGAGCCCAAGAATACTGGAGTGGGCAGCCTATCCCTTCTCCAGGGGAACTTCCCGACCCAGGAATTGAACCAGGCTCTCCTCACTGCAGGTGGATACGTTACCAGCTGAGCTACCAGGGAAGCCCTATGGCCTGAGAGTTACATGGCAAAAATGTTTGTGGAAAAACGCAAGAAAGATGTCTGTAGCAAATATGCTTACAGTGAAAGTACCTGTAACTAGTAGAGATGTGTTAGGACAAAGACATATCCCGAGCCAGTGGTTTTCATGAGAGTCTTCTGGTTCTGTGTCCCTAGCCTATTACTTCCTCATCTTACCTTTCTAAGCAAAAGCACATATGGCTATTTCTATGTTTTCAATGAAAAATACTCCAAAGCCCACTATTGAGAAAATATATTGCTATAAGAAATATCTAGTAACTCACAAAATATAAGTAAATCCTGCTCTTTCTATGACAAATTTTTACAATACAGTTACTATCCTACTATTCCTACTAGGAATTGTATACACAATATGCACAAGGAAAAAGTTTCTCAAAATGTCAACTAATGATTGCTTTTATAATTTTGGTATATAATGAACGACTTTTGGTTTTACTTCTCTAAATATGAGAGGGTGGGAGAAAAAAAATAAAATAGTGCAATTTTTTGTGCTACTTATCCTCTTTTGGTTCTGTTTTTTTTTTTTAAACTGTGACCAAGGGTCTTCCAAATATAGTGTAGTATATCTTAGTGACAGTGAAATTCCAACTTTAAAAAGCTACATAATGTTTTTTATATAGAACAATAAGGTAATGTTATTTATTACCAGTACATGCTCAATAATTTTCTTATTTCATATGTAAATGTGATCCTTAGAGATTTACATTTTAGATCTTTAGTTTTTTTAATTAACTGGCAATAAAAGGTCTGTAAGTTTTAGGTCAAAATAGAAATGTGACTATTTCTCATCCTCAATCTTTATGCAATGTATGTATGTATATTATTCCTTATGAGTAACTGTGTACCTGGCAGGGAGCACCATTCATGAGATGGAAGGAGAAATTTAGTAAATTATATTCTACTGGGACAAAAGTAGCAACATTTTTCTTGCTAGTACTCCAGAGGGATGGAAGTAGGAGTTTGTTAGGTGCTCCCCCAGTGATCCAGAAACTCTAATTTATTATTTTCAAGATGGCATTTCAGTGACTCCAAATAATTTTCCTCCCCCACCCTCCATTTTTGTTTTTGTTTTTGTATTTAACCAGAGTGATTCTTTTAAGGCAAATCTGTCTAGTCATGCTTATCTTAGAATGTCTTAGGAATCTGTTTTGTTCAAGGAACCAGGTTGCCTCTAAATCATAGACTTGTGCAAAGGAACATACTGCTATCCCTTCCATAACCTGGAGTTATTCTAATTCTAGATTTAACTGTGCTTTAGAAAGCCACCAACATGACCTCTAGCACTCACAACAATGAGAAAAGTATTGATGTCACCTACATCTCTCAAAGAACTCTTATTTCATTGGGAAGATTGGAAGTTTCCCGTCAGAGAGATAGTGAGGTAGATAGAGATAGGTAAATAGAGAGAGAGATCTCTGAGTAGTCAACTTTCAGGCCTCTCGGAACAGCAGGAAGTTGCTGCTGATATAAAAGCTTCATATTGACGTTTCTTTAAGAAATCTAAGTGGGTTGTTTTTGTCATAAATACAAATTCAAAACAATGTAAGAATCCCATCTGTTTCTTCTCATTTGCTGTCTTGCTGTTATTTACTGAGCTCCTACTATGTGCCAAATCCTTTGCTAATCATTCTATCCACACGCGTTATTTCATTTCATTCCCAGAACAATCCTAGGAGGTATGTTTTATTTCTCTTGTTTTAAAGGTAAGGAAGTGAAGGTTCCAAGAAGTTCAGATGTGAAAGAATTGGGTAAATATTACCATGTAAATAAATACTAGAAGCTGAACTTGGATCTAGATCTTTATGTCAGAAACATAACTGTGACTTTATAGCTTACTTTTAAACTTGTGAAGGGTAATGCATGCCTGCCTTAGGGAATGTGACAGAGTCTGTTTTACTATTGCAATGAGAAGGTGAAATAGCCTGATAGTTATGGTAAAACCCCATGATGAAATGTTATGTTCACTAAAGTTCCATTATTTTCAGTGGATCGTTGAGAAGACTTTTACATATCCTTGTATGGGGAGATTCACCAGGTTTTAATAGAAATTTCAGTAACTATTAAATCTAGAGACTATTACATTTGAAAGTTCTAGAATAGCACTGTATTTCTGCTATGGTGAATATCTTTTATATCTGTACTCTCCAATAAGGTAGCTACAGACAGATGTGGCTATTGAACATTTGAAAGGTGGCTAGAATGCCTAAGGAATTTTTAATCTTAGTTTCAACTTTAATTTTAAAAGCTACATGTTGTTACCATATAGGAGAATATATTTCTAGAATGTCTATTGTGACGTCATGATAGTGTGCAATGTGATATGGATAGTTAAGTGAAAGGAAAAAACATCATTGTTAAGAAGTGAAAATAATTTTCTAAGTAGAGAAAGAGCTAAATATTTCCAATGGTTTCTTGTAGAAAAATGTAACAGAAAGTGAAAATCAGATCAATGATGATGCCCACAAATGCATAAAAAAAGAAAAGAACCAAAGATATAAGATCTAGAAGCAGCCAGAGAGAATGTAGCTCAGGTATCGATGAGAATTCTTTTAGCAATTTACACAACCTCAGTCTAATGCCACTTGGCTAGGTTATGTTTTGACAAGAAATATTTACACACAACAGATACATTTAAAAAATGAATGATTATTTGAATTTTAAAAAAGTTAAGTTAGAAATGTGGTATGTGTTAATAGTAACAAATGCATTTTACTTTTATTTAGGCAATGGGAAGGATTACGGTAAAGACTACAAGCTTATTTTTCATTTACAAAGGAAACCTAGACTGGAACTCCAAATCAAAGAAGTGGATGAATTTGGAAACTATAGCTGCCCTCATTATAAGGGTGCCATTGTAGTTTATAAAGTACCTAAAGAAAAGGTAGTCCACGGCTGGGATGACTCTCTTATATTTAACGAAAACAATTATCAGTTGCCAATTTGCAAATTAGCATTGAGATTACCAAAGGTGAGTGATTTTACCTCCCTAATTCCTATATGTTGTTAATTTCCTGTAATTCTCCACAAATTCAATATTGCAGACATATGGATACTTATGGTTAAAAGGAAAGCTAGGAATAATGGTGACAAGGAAGGAGTGAGTAGCTCCAATTTAAGAGTAATAGAATACATATTAGGATATAAAGTTCTTTCATATCATCATTATTCTAGGAACAATTCAAGTTGGTTTGATCCTGACAGGATGTTGTTAATGACTATTGAAAAATGTCATTCATTTTTTGTAACTGCATCTGATTAACTAGAAAAATCAATTGTAAAAACATTGAAAACATTTGGAACACAACACTTTTAGAAAAATCACGTGGTGAGCAGAAAAATTGTTTTGAAATACATTCAGTGAGACTTACCAAATCCTGAACATTTAAGACTTAATTACTCTTTCATTTCTGATTTTACTTGAGTTCTTTTTTTTCTTGATTAGTCTAGTTAAAGTTTTTTCAATTTCATTTATCTTTTCAAAGAACTAACTTTTAGTTTCATTGATCTATTATACTGTCTTTTCAGACTCTATTTCATCTATTTCCACTCTGAAAAAAGGAAAAGTATTAATCACTCAGTTGTGTCTCTGGGATCCCATGGACTGGAGCCTGCCAGGCTCTTCTGTCCGTGGAATTCTCCAGGCAACAGTACCAGAGTGGGTAACCATTCCCTTCTCCAGGGGATTGTACCAACCCAAGAACCAAACATGGGTCTCCTGCATTGCAGGCAGATTCTTTACCATCTGAGCCACCAGGGAAGCCCCTATTTCCATTCTAATCTTTATTTCTTCATTTCTTCTGTTAACTTTGGGCTTTTTTGCTCTTCTTTTTCTAGTTTTTTTTAGGTATAAAACTAGATTGTTTGTGATTTTTCTTGTTTCTGAAGTAAGCCTGCATTATCATGAACTTTCTTAGAACTGATTTAGCATAGATTTTGGTCTTTGCATTTCTGTTTTCATTTGCCCATGTATTTTGTGCTTGTGTCTTTGAATTTCTGATAGCTTATTGGTTATTCAGTAGCATATTGTTCAATCTCCACAAATTTGGTGATTTTCTGTTTTTTCTTATGGTTGATTTTTAGTTTCATGATATTGTTGTTTGGAGAAGATGCTTGACAGGATTTCAGTTTCCTTAAATTTATGGAGACTTGTTTTGTGACCTAAGTGTATGGAAATGGCCCATGTACACTTGAGGAAAATGTGTATTCTGCTGCTTTAGATGGAATGTTTCTTTTTTCTTTCTCTATATAGGTATATCTAATCTATTAGGATCGTTTGGTTTAATGTATTATTTAAAATTGATGTTTGCTTATTATTTTTCTCTATGGATGATCTATCCATTGATGTAAGTGTAATATTAAAGCGGGACTTCCCTGGTAGTCCAGTGGCTAAGACTCCAAGCTCCCAAGTATTGCTGTCAATTTCTCCCTTCAGGTCAGCCATAATATTTGCTTTCTTTATTCTAGTCTCCTCTACTGGCTGCATATATATTTATAAATGTAACATCTAAAGAAGAAGTTACAATTGACCCCATAAAAATAAAAATCATAAGAAACTACTCTAAACAATTATAGACCAGCAAACTAGGCAACCTACAAGAAGTGGATAAATTCCTAGAAACAAACTATCTTCTAAGACTTAGTCATGGATAAATATACAGAATAGAAGATACTTAATCATGAAGAAAATCTGAATAGATTGATTTCTTGTAAGGATATTGAAATGGTGATAAAAAAAAAAAATCTCTCAACAAACAAAAATCTAGGACCAGAAAGCATTAGGGGTGAATTCTCCCCAAAATTTAAAAGAATATTTAATACTATCCTTCAAACTCTTCCAAAATGTTGAAAAGGAGGGAATGCTCCTAAACTCATTTCATGAAATAAACATTACCCTGACATCAAAACCAAATGAAGATACCACCAAAAAAGAGAAAAGTACAGGCTAGTATACTTAATAAATGTAGATGTAAAAATCCTCATCAAAATATTAGCACATTGAATCCAACAGACTCATACAGCAGGATCAAGTGGGATTTATCCTAGAAATTCAGGAATAGTTCAACATCTGAAAATCAATCAACGTGTTATACCACATTAACAAAATAAATGATAAGAATCATATCATCTCAATAGAAGCAGAAAAAGAATTTGATAGAATTCAACATCCATTTATGAAAGAATATCAACAAAATAGGTATAGAGAAAAGGTACCTCAACATAATAAATACAATACATGAGAAATCTACAGCAAACACCACACTAAATGGTGAAAAACTGAAAGCATTTACACTAAGATGAGGAACAAGATGTTTTACCGAAGAATTTATGCAGATGGTTGATAACTCATATGAAAAGATGTTCAAGATCACTAGTTATTAGGGAAATGAGGTTCAGCATTGCAAAGAGATATACCTCAAGTCTCTCATATAGAATGATTACTGTCAAAAAGACAAGAAATAACAAATGTTAAAGAGGATGTGGAAAAAAGGGAACATTTGTATACTTTGGGGTTGGTGGGAATGTAAATTGATGGAAATCTAAATTGGTCCAGCCACTGTGAAAATCAGCATGATGATACTTCAAAAATTAAGAAAAAATTACTATATGATTCAGCTATTTCAGTTCTGGGTATTTATCCAAAGTATACAAAAATATTCATTTGAAAAGATATATGTACCCTATCCTCATTTCAGTATTATTTACAATAGCCAAGATATGGATACAACTTAAGTGTCCATCAATAGATGAATGGAAAAGGAAGATCTGGTGCATATATACAATGGAATACTACTCAGTGATTAAAAGAATGAAATATTCCATGTGCAATGACGTGGCTGGACTTTACAGTACTTAGTTATATTACTAACTAAGTAATATGGGTTAGACAAAAGAAAGACAAATACCATGTGAGTTTACTCATATGTGGAGTCTAAAAAACAACAACAAAAAGTGATTAAACAAACAAAAACAAAAATAAACTCATAGTTACAGATAACAGATTGGTGATTACCAATCAGGGGGGAGGGGGTTTTGGGGAATGAGCAAGTGATTGAAAAATGTCAATTGTATGGTGATGATTGAGAACTAGATTTTTGGTTTTGTGCACTTTGCAGCGTATACAAATATCACATGGTAATACACATCTGAATCATAAATAATGTAACATAGAAATTTTACTTCAATTAAAAGAAAGAGTCAATTACTTTTGTCTAAAATTCTTATTTGTAATGGGAAAGTAGGGTTGAATTCTTCCCCTCAACTTGTGAAGCAAAAAGTCAATGATGTTATTGCTATACATACTATTTCTTTTAGTGATTCAGGACTTGTACTTAATTATATTCTAATGAGAAATGAAAAATGTTTCACTCCAGAGGAAGAACAAATTTTTTATCCTTTAAAGAAAGTTGAATAGTTTTCCTACTTCTATGGTTTTATATTTTTACTTGTGTTATAAATAGCAGAAACATGTGTTTTACGGGATAAGATTCTGTATTTATTTTAAATAAATTAGTAATTAATTTGATAAATATTAATTGAAATTCTGAAATAGAAAATGTGCTAAGTTAGGCATTGTGATAAATATTGAGCTATATAGGATAATACAAGACCTAAAACTTCATTGTCCTGAATGGTAGCCACGATCCACATGTTTCTATGGAGCACTTGAAATATGGCTAGTCCAAACTGAGATGTACCATAAATGTCAAATAAACACTGGACTTCAAAGACCTAGTACAAAAATAGAAAATATTTCATTAATTTGTTTATAATGATTTCATTGTAAGTGATAATCTTTTGGATATGGAGTTAAAAATGTATTACTAAAACTCATCTCACCTGATTAAAAAATTTTAACTAGAATATTTTAAAGTATATTTCTATAGGATATCATTGCTCTAAATTATTTACAATCTTACAAAGTATGCAAAACATGAACAAAATTGCTTTATAAGATTGTGAATAATTAGATGAATGGTATAAACAGTGTACTAATAGTTATACAGAGGAGGGAAATTGTTTTTCTGGAAGTTAAACTCAAGAAAAATTTCAAGGTGGTTGTGGCAATTAATCTGAGCTTTATAAGTATGTAGAAATTTGGCCACTGGAAATGAAGAAAACCTATGTTAGGCTGAGGAAATGGAATGAATTTGACTGGGGATAGTAGACATAGTTTAGCAGGAATTCAGAATTCATATAATAGCCATTACAATAATTTATAAAGTGCCAAAGATCTTTCAAGTGCTTTCCATTCATTGCATCATTAAATTCTCATAAAAATCACATGAGGCATTATCATTTTATAGGAAACAGGCACAGAAATTTTAGGCAAGTTGTCCATGGACCCAAATCTAATAAGTGTCAGAGTGGGATTCTGACCCAGAAAATCTGCTTCACACATGGGCAACCCCAGAGCGCTACTGCCTCTTGAGCAGGTAACACAAGGATTTTTATTCAAGGATGCGGGATGGATTTTAGGACACTCAGGTTCTCCCTGGAAGTTGTAAGACAATTTCATGGATACCATGCTTTAGAGGTGACAGGACATGGATTCTGGTCATTGGCACTGAAAATAGCCATTTGCAGGGGCCCAGAGACATTAACTCTACTTGCTGGTTTCAGAGAGAGAGATCCTGAGCTTCTTAAGAGGCATGAGTAAGGTAGCTGACTGTAGCAAACCACTGATAGTTAAAATGACATTTTAAGAAAGGTATAGCTAGAGAGGTGTATATTCACCATCAGTTTTTCCACTGTGCGGTTTCATTTCCATTTAGGGTTCTTGCCTTTGCTTCTCCCTGTGTTTGGGGGTCTCTTCCCTCTGACAGTCATGTCAGTTCAGTCATTCAGTTGTGTCTGACTCTTTGCAACCCCATGGATTGCAGTACGCCAGGCTTCCCTGTCCATCACCAACTCCTGGAGCTGATTTAAACTCATGTCCATCGAGTTGGTAATGCCATCCAACTGTCTCAT